AAAAAAAAAAAAAAAAAAAAAAAAAAAAAAAAAAAAAAAAAAAAAAAAAGCAAGCACCATTGTGAAGATTTGAAGATGTCTAAATCAAAACCCTCCACCCAAATAGAAAGAAAGGTGTTCGGGGATACAAACTCCCAATGGGAGAGAACAAAAATGACAACAAAAAGAGCTACAAACAACCGGAATAGAATATTAGAAAACTTCATGGTATCAAAGTAAGAAAAAGAAACTCTGGCCGTCAAAACATCCTCAAATAAAACCCTAGATGTTCTCTTCATGAGCGTCATCATCTCCGAGGATTGTTTGTGACTTGCTCGTCTTAGTGCGTGTCTATCAACCATTGTTCGTGGTTCTTGGTTTACGTCTATCAACCATTGTTCGTGGTTCATGGTTTACGTCTATCAACCCTACTCTTTGTTTGTGTCTACGAACTCTAGATAGCCCACAACTCTGGTATCTCCACTCACCCGTCAGTCCCTCTCAAGTCCTTCCGCTGTTATCAGTTTCTTCAATCATGACTCGTGTTCCAACCGCTTTCACCATTGGTGTCTGATTTCCTAAGATCATTCACATATGTTTTTGTCGACCCGCTTCCACTGATATCAATCACTTCACTACCACTACCAGTTGCCCATCTAAACACTCGACTAAATGGGTTTCTTTGCACTATATTAATTTTTTTTGGTGTTCCAATTCAAGCCATAATACTTTGTTGTCCTAGTTACGCAATATTTCATTGCCTTTTGTCCTATTTTTAATCCAAAGCATGAAGGCGGAACCAACTCTTCATCAAATCAAAGAACTAAAAAGGATCATTGGTTACCACAATACAAAATGTAAGATTGGTGGCATGGCACAAAGAAATATCCCAGTTGCCCTAGCAACTTACCAAAAATTAGTGAAGCCTTGGATCGTAGATAATGTGCATCCAATCACATGACAGGAAATGGATCGCTAGTTTGGAATTACCGAACTAGCACCTTAGATGCAATAGAAAAAATGGCAAATGACTCTTACTCCAAAATGTTCGGGACAGACTCAATTAGTGTTACACAGAATTTATAGCTGAATTTGGTCTTACGTATACCAAATTGGATTGTAATTTGTGATCAACATGTAAGATTTATACCAAATCATCTCGCCTAACTTCTCCTCCATCGGTGGAAGATTTGATTGGTCCTAAACCCTCCATCTCCAAATCCTCTTTTTGTGTTAGAAAAGATAAAAAGAAGTTGTTGATTTAAATTGGAGCTCCTTGTTGGTAGTTTCTTATTTGAATGTGCATGGTGATTAGAAAGATATTAAGTGGGTCATTGAAGTGCATTTTGGAACCATTTTTTTTATTAATCCTTTTATAGATAAGAAAGCTTTACTTCAATGTAAGATGCTAATCTTTTAGTTGGTATTGGTCCTTTGGGTAAATGGTTAAATATTAGTCATTTCCAATTGAAGATTGAAATATGGGACAATAGCAAGCACAGCAAACCATAAAGGTTATAGAGTTTGGATTAAAATCATGAACTTAACTCTTCATGGAATATGCTCAGTTTCATTGCAATCAGTCATTACTTCGGTTGTTTGATTCAAGTTTCATCTAAAACCCTAAATTTGTCATATTATAGTGTAAGTTATATTAAAGTTCAGAAGAACTTATGTGGTTTCATCCCAGCTTCAATTGAAATCACTGATCTAAAAAAGATAATTCTCTTCTTCAATTTGAGGATATCACTTCAATTGATTTCCTTTCATCTCAATGTCTTATGTGAGCACTTTGGTTATAAAAGACTTTTCAAATCCATTGGACATTATTCGTATCAGCTCAGTAATTGAAGATGAAAAGTCTTCTCAGCATAGTAGTTAACCCCTATCAAAAATTTTGAATGCTTCAAAGGAAAACTTAGTTATCATTGATGCATCTAATGACCAATGCTTGCATGCTCAACTTAAATTTCCACATCAAGGCCTTGGAGATTCAACAGCTGTTCCTATTACTCCGGTTGTTAAAGAGATTCCTATTGAGACCACAAAAACGCCTTTAGATGATTCCCTAATGGCATCGAGTCTTCTAAATCCTTACACGTTAAAGAGGTGAAGAACTGATTTATTGATTTATTGAACTTTGTCCTCTACCCTATACTCAAAGAAAAGGGCATCATTTCTCAGCTCCTCTGATCACCGAGGTTAATGCTTTGAATCCAGATAGTTGTAAAGCAATCAACTACTGGCCCCCAACACGTAATCGATGTATCCATAGAGATTTACAAAAGTTTCAGGGACCTGCCCATAAAACTGTTTGCCGCCACGTAATAAGAGAAAAAAAAAATTGCTAAAATAATGCACAATGTTAAACATAGACACAAAATATGCAAAACGTTGTACCATAAGCCATCATATCATCAACTAACTAAAATAGAAGTATATCCACGCACAGGCACATATTTCAAGTGAAAGCAGCTACAGAGCAGGAGAACAAGAATACCTGATAGTTCACCCTAAAACGTCCAAGAAGACGGCAATACTCATGGTAATTATCATGATCAGCGAGACCTGATTACCAATAAAAATTAGATAAATAGAAAATCTACAAACAAAAGAAAATCTAGGTTTGAAAAGAACAAACAACTATTCAAGATTACAAGGCGAACCATTAGGACGAAGCTAACAAAGCCAAACTTATTGGGATACATTAGCTAGTTAAAATCTGGTTAGCCGTTAAGCATAATAATCATCAGTTATACAGAGAACTCTTATAATCTTATAAATACCACAAATTCAAAACTTCACCTTTTATTTAACGTAAATAATGAGCATATTGGAAGAAATTCAAGCACCACCAGTAGTTTTACTCAAATCTACTCAGCAATTAGTACTACAAACACATAAAGGTATAAACATAACCATGCTACATGTACTTGTTACAAATAACATCTTGTTGTTGCATCGAAACATAGAAATGTTGACTGATCTAACTAACAGTAAAGTTGGTAAAATGAAATGGTTGAATAATTGAAAAATTAGATTATTCAAGAATACATATTGAATGCAATGCGTCGCATTGAGTTTCTAGTAGTAGATTCATAACCAAAAAAGTGTTTGTGATTGTTCCGGAAGAAGTGAAACAAAAGATATATATAGATAGATAGATAGATGCGTGTCTGTGTACGTATATGTGAAGGATGCAATAATAAACACACCTTGACCAGTTTGTAGGATTTCTTTAGTTCCTGTCATGAGATGGGCCAAAAATTTTGAACGAGCAGCATCATTTGTAAACAAAGAACGTCTAACGGAAGCTAGTCGAACCAGGCATTCCAGTGCCTAGAAGAGAATTGTGGAAACCCATAAGAAAGCATGCTTAAACTGGAAAATAAAAGAGCAAATGAATCCAGAATTTAAGAGACTATCGGTGAATAACTGGTATGTTTCCAAAAATGGATATAAGAAACATCGTCTCAATGCTGTTCAATGCTACCAGAAAAAGATAAACCTGGAATATAAACCAAATTTCTTAAGGTATTGTTCCACCTACCGTTTCAAGACAAGGGGGAGCCTTTAGTAGGAATTTTTTTTTACTGATGAAACATTTGGCTAGAGCGATATAAGATAACTTTTAGAGAGGTTGAGAGTTTTTAGAGGGGTGTGGTCTACATCTAGATAAATCTATAAATGTCTCTCCATGAATGTTCCAATGAGTTGGTTATCATCCGTTGCTTGTTATGCTCAACAAGTGGAGCCTTTTTACAATTTTTAGTTAAGTTCCTTTGTATAGGCACATTTTGTGGTGGGATTTTTCTTTTCTTATTTTATTGATCCACCTGCGAGAAGTGTGTAGCCTAAACCATATCTGTTAAACAAGGAAACCCGAAGGTAGGTCCAGACCCTGTCAGAGGAGATGCCAAGTTGCCAACCATCTCTCCTTTAATCTAACACATTTGTTCTTTTTTTAATATCCACGTCTCCCTTCAATTAAGTAGTAATAATAAAACTAACAACTAAAGCAAAGCCAGGAGCTTTACCTGGCTTCTCAATAAACAGAAATCAAGTGCAAATAGCTAGTCATCAGGAAAAAAAAATTTATAAAAAGCAGGAATACCTTGACATGAAACGAGAATACACAAAAGAGATTACAAATTATAGCAAGATCACAATGGTGCGAAATCAATGATGGAGGAAAGTATGAAATTTCAGATGAAAAAATCCATAACAGTGTTAAAATGTGAACTTCAGACCAAACTGCACTATATCTTCGTTTCTTTCTTCAAAAATTATCTTGTTCTTCTCCTTCACAATGCAATAAAGAATGGTCAAAAACACCCTATTATTTCATTACCTTGAGGAACTCAAATCTCGTGTAAGAAAATAAAACTTGAATGGCAAAACCAAACTGATCTGGTAATTGTTGAAGATGCTCATAGATATTTAAACAAAACAATCATTAATCTAAAGGCAGTTATCTTAAGCCAAGTTTGAAATGAAATTAATACCCACTAAACATTGAGAACAAATAACTTTCATGCCAAAATCTTATTTTAGTAGATCTCATTTGACCTCAAATCAGGAATCATAATATCTCCAAAAAAAAAAACAGAAAATACATAAATAAGAAGCTGTATGAACCTCCTTGGAAAGTGGCGCTTTTGTAATGGCATAATAATCAAAAAATATCTGTAGAGTTGATGGATCCTCCAAAACTGTCTTCCAAGAAGATGGAATCTGCAAGGCCACCAAACATAATCCATGATCATCCTTTTTTTTTTTTTTTTGGATAAGAAAATTTTCATTAGTGAACAACCAATTAAAAGAAAAACAAGGAGGACATTAGGTCTCCGCCCATCCTCAGAAAAGAGAGATTAGAATGATGCACTTCAGGAAAAGAGAGAGAGAGATATGACAAAGGTTTGGCGAAAGAACTTCATAAAAACAAACTAAATCGAGGGTACATGGGCATCTCCACTCTAAGCATAAAATTGTCAGGTTCCTTACTAACCACAAACCTCAATAAGCAGCCATAACAGCAAAGTCAAAAGGCCTGAACTTTGCGAACAAAAGCATTGCCCTTATAAACCTGAGCAATAATATATAAGAAATTGCTAGGTATGCACCACCAGAGGCCAAAACTCTGAAGCAACTCACCAAATGTAACTAGAATACTTATAAGTGAAAAATAAGTGTTGGAACTTTACACCTCTCTCATAAAAGAGCAAACCATAAATGAATAAAGGTAGGCTCAGGCTTCTTTTACATAAATTTGTTGTAGGTGCTATGCTTTCCAAGACTATTCCAATCTTCAACAGCAAAATTAAATGATAACTGGTAGATAACTAAATGAAATACCTGAACAGTGCCAAACTCTTCTGAGCTTTCGTCAATGGAGGTCCCAACAAAATCAAAAGATAAACACTTCAGTGATAGAGAAAGTGCTAATTCTTGCAAACGACCAGCTACTGTATGCCACACAAATAAAAATCTATCAGTTAACGAGCAAAATTTTTAAGATAGGAAGGTTCAAAGAATTCAAAAATACTGGTTTAGTCATGTCGACAACTAAGTAAGATTAGCACGTTACCATCATTCTTCAACTGACATAAGGATGTTAAAGATATTTGGAAGATTTGGAACAACCCTTGGTCCCTGAAGGAGCAAGCCACTCTCCGATGATTTGTTGAAGGGAATCCTTGATTAGGCTAAAAATTCAACAGTCAATAGAAGAACAAGTTGCTGATGTCAAAAAATTACAACGAAGTAAATAATAATATACAATATGAAATTCAAGTTAGAGGTGCCGGAAAAATAGAAAAAGAAATAAATCTACATTCTTGCAGGCAACCGATATAAAACTACATAAACATCAGCAGCAAAATAGGTATACTGATTCTGAATGCAAACTTGCTATTCATACAAAATGAGAATTTTTATTAATTGAATGTCAATCATTACAACCTAAAATATATGGAGGATGGGCGATCCTTTATGAAGACCAAGGGGGGAGAGAAATTCGTGTGCACATTACACCACTATAAAATTTAAAATTTAAAAACTAAATACACAAAAGCCCCCAAAAAGCCAATAAACATGCTTTCCTCCAACAAGTATTTGAACATAACCATTGTCTAAAATCTTCTGAAACTGTCTTCACCTACAATCAACAAGTAAAAGTTTAGTTTCTAATCCTCACAAATATGATCTAGAGTGAACTCAAAACCATGTAGGAAAACGATTGATATAGAAATGTGTCTGTCCTAGCAATAAGCAGTACACGTCTTTACTTTAGGCCAATCGCCAGTTCCTACTCAAAAGGACATTTTTAAATAAAACCATTATTTTATTTAGAAAAAATGAAATAACAAAGTTGAGAAGAGGGGGAAAACTCTTATCTAAAAAACTACGATACAAAAACAGAATTTGGGTCATAAAAATAAATTAATAGAAATAGAATGACTCAGATGAAGAAATATAAGGAATTAGACACCTAAATGGAACCTAAAGGTAATACTCCAAGCAAAAAGTTGGAAATTTTTGTACTTGTCTTCAAAATATTCGTTTCCAACCATATAATCTATTTGCCTAAAGAAACAAACATATCAGCAAAGCCAGCCTTGTCTGATACAATCACAGATTAATACTCTTATACCTTATTAAGACACCAGCCCCAAAAAACATTAAAAGGGAAAAACTAAAACAGGCTCATACGGAAGCCATGCACAAGTAAATACATTTACAGTTACTGTATATAAAAAATCATCCTATTTCACATCTACTTCAAAAAGTAGCAAAATTATAAAGAAAAAATCCTAACATAACATTGAATGAAAAATATTATTAATAAAACAGAAGCCATACATGAGCAGATTAGAGCTCTTTTTTGTGATTTTTTTTAATTGGGATCCTTTGTATGGGCATCATTGCTAGTAGTAGTGGGCTTTTTTTTCTTTTTTTTTTTGTACTACCCATTTCTACTTTTTTCCTCTATCTTCATGACAGTTCGATTTCTTTTATTTATGTAAAGTGACAATGCACAAAGTAACTTTTTTATGTGTATGAGCGCGCATGGGGGAGGGGGGGCAAAAGAGATTACAAAAGATTCGTGGAATTTTGCTCATACAACTAACTCATGAAAGAATTTAGGAAAACCTCAGCTCAAACAAACCCTCAGAACAACACACACTTCCATGTACACAGATAGCAGTCAAGCATAAATAAGTAATTGACTCGTTCAACTGACATGCGATATGCATATATAAAGCAACCAAGCACAAATAAGTAATCGATTCATTCAACTGACACATCACAAAAAGTGGAGAAAAATAATAATCTAAGACTTTCTTCTAAAAATTCACACCTACCATCCATAGCCAATAACCATAACAGACCAAAAATCTAAGAAACAAACGCACTTATCCACAATGCAAGAATTGCCATTAGCAGTTGACTCCATTCTAACATCAATGCGTGGAAGATGTCATCAAAAAAATAAAAATAAAATAAAATTGCCCTGTTGTTTCTCATCAAAACTGCCTCAATTATAGCCCAAGTTCCTCAAAGATGTCAATTTTTTCCCTACTCATCACATTGATTCATTCACAATACAGGGAAGGTCGAATAAATCTCCCTCCCACAAAGGAAAAGGACCAGCAACCACTTTAAACTAAAAATCTTCCACGAATCTAGGAGCCACTAACTTTGCAAACGGACAACGAACAATCCCATCACTAATTTTGCAAACGGACAACGAACAATCTATCGTATACCCCACAAATCCAAGCTTGGAAATTTAACAACATACGATGTAGTGAGTTAGTTCGATAGTTTTGGTTAAATTCTTGAGAATTCCTTCAACAGAATGCTTCATCAACAGCAAGCATTGAGTGGAGGTTTTAGGGGAAAGGATTTCGGGATAAGAAGTGGTCTGACTCTAAGCCGAATTGAACCACATCATAGCTACCTTAAATTATGTTGGAAACATTGAGGTAGTTTAAGAATGTTTCTTATGTATGAAAGTGGAAATTTCACCGTCATTTAGAATAGCCCATGAAAAGCAGTAATCTTAAGAAAGTAAGGAAATATCCCTCCCTAAATGGATGAATATTGTTGAGCACAAGTTTTTCCTTACAAAATCAAGTTCTTCTCCAATCAAATAACCCATAAAAGATTATAATAGTACACTGGCACGAGGTAAACTAGTTCTTATGATTTTACCACCAAAGAAGTAGCAAACGGGGAATGACAGTGAACGCTCCATAAGTAACTACTCTCATCAACAAAATATTGATTATGATTACAACTTAACATTTTCAAGAAGAATACATGCTAAAGATACATCAGCATTTAAATCCTCCCTTTCCCAAATGGAATGGTAACTTTCAGATAAAGAAGGGTGGCGATTAGAAAACCTACCTGATTCATCTCAGATACAAGTTGGTTCAAAATCTTCAAACCAATACCATAGTGTTCTGATGTTGCCTGCATGAAAAGAGGAGGTTAATGGGCCAGTCTCCCGAACAAAAAGACTTCATGTGGAGGACTAGCCATAGAAATGATAATTTAAACAATATAATTTCAAAAGAATATGAGCAACTACAAGAATATTTTTGCAAGTATTAGGATTTTACAATCTTATAGAATGGACTTGTATATATTTACTATATTAAACCATGAAATGATGGCGAATTCCTGTTTAACAACTTTATTCAATCTCTAGTTCAAAATTTTTAGAGGTAAATAGTTGCTAATCAAACAGAACCCCTCTTAACTCATTTTTTGTGCAAGTTGTATGGTCACGGCATACTTTTACACTCTAATTATGTTATAACAGAAAATTCATTCAACCTAAATGGTGAATGTAGAATAAAAGAAAATATATGCCACGTGGTTTCATGAGACTTGCACAAACAGTAATGACCAGCTAACAATAACAATTAATAACTAACAAT